TACATACATACATACATACATACATACATACATACATACATACATACATACATACATACATACATACATACATACATACATACATACATACATACATACATACATACATACATACATACATACATACATACATACATACATACATACATACATACATACATACATACATACATACATACATACATACAAACATACAAATGCACACACACACAAACATACAAACAAACCCATATGTGCACATGTTCCTTCAAGAATCGATCGACATAGCGATTAAATAAATCACTGTTGTCAGGTCCAATGCATACGTACATACAAACATCCATACAAACATACATACCAACTTCCATACAAACAAACATACATACATACAAACATACATTCATACATACAAACATTCATACAAACATACATACATACATGCAACCCAGTCTACATTGCTTCAATTTGTTTTATCATCTGCCACCATACCCTTACTTTTAATCCTCAATATCTCTCTTTCTGATTTTATTTCTCATTAGTTAATTTCAAGTGCTCTCTATTTTCTACTCCCTCTCTCTCACTTTTCTCTCTCTTTCTCTTTTCTCTCTCTTTCTCAATTTCTAATTCTTTTTTTTGATTGGCGTCTTTACCATCCTATTTCCTATCTCCCGTCTATACCTTTCTGTCCTTCTTGCGCTTTCTCTCTCTCTCTCTCTCTCTCTCTCTCTCTCTCTCTCTCTCTCTCTACCTTTTTCTGCTCCTCCCTTTTTCTCTCTCTCTCTTTCTCTCATTTTTTCATTCTTTTTTAATAGTAATTTTAAATTCCACATAAACGCAGACCAAAGTAATTGAGGCAAAGACAAAAAAGTCAGCTAAGAAATCGCCAACACCAACTTCAAATATCGAAAATACCTCCACCACTACTACTACCACCACTGCCACTACTACTACTACTGCTGCAGCAACCACCACTACTACTACTACTATTACTGCCGCTGCTAAATTGTCAGTGGCCCGTAAAACGACCAAAGATATAAAAGAAGATTCCAAGATGGGCGCCGCAAAAAAAAAATCGCTGAAGAATGGCGAGAAACTGGCCGACGACAAAGTGGCTTTAATGTTAGTGAAATAAGTTAAAAATTATGATTATTATTATTATTGTTGTTGTTGTTTTAGCTGTTGCTTTTGTTCTTAGCAGTAATAGTAGTAAGTAGTTAATTTCATTGTCTCTACTGTCATTATGATGACGATTATGAAGAGGATGTGGTTATGATTAAAAAGATGACGATGACGACGATGATGATGACGACCAACGCGTTCGGCTGTCATGTTTACATTGATGAATCATCCTATAAATAAAAACGAACCCTCTATAGATGATGATGATGATGAGGATGATGATGATGAGGATGATATACTGCTACTGCTGCTGCTGCTGCTACTACTACTACTACTACTACTACTACTACTACTACTACTACTACTACTACTACTACTACTACTACTACTACTACTCTACTACTACTACGGCTGCTACTACTACTACTACTAATAACCATAAAATTAACAACTGTTATTGTATACTAAATTACGAAATGAAGCATTTTTTTCAAATAAACACCTAAGAACAATCTCTTCATTCATTTGTTAACGAAAGAATATAATAAATACATTAAAAAATATCAGTCTGATAGATTAAAATTATACTAAATTACTCATACCAAAACAGTATTTTCACTTCAAAATAACTTATAGTAAGACATCTCCTCTTATATTTTTCATCTGAAATCTCCAGAGAGAACTTTTCAAGGCATGAAAAACAAAAAACTACGAAAAAAGAAATAAGAACAGCTGCTACTGAGAAAAAAGGTAAAAAGGACGAAAATTTCATCGATCGTAACATCTCAGCAGCTCCAAAAGCAGCTACAGCAGCTACTACCACAGCTCATGACTCAGCAGCTACAGCAGCAGCAGTAGTAGTAGTAGTAGCTATGGACGCTTCTGTAGATGGTGCCATTCAAAATTCAATCACGAATGATAAAGATGGGATAGTGTTCGAGGGTGAAGATAAGAAATATGGGGAAGGAAAAACAAACAAAAGTGAAATTGATCAAGTGGCTGATGAAGTAGCTGATGACGTAGTAGCCGCAGTGACGTCATTAGCGTCTGAAACATCGATGACTGCTTCTATTGAGATTGAGGTTTGTTTGGGTGAACACATTTTTTTTTTAATTTTCAAAATCAATAAAAAAAATTTGTTTTTCAATAAATTTTAAAATGTATTATTTTTTTTAAATGAATGAATGAATGAGTGAATGAATGAATGAATGAATAAATGAATGAATGAATGAATGAATGAATGAATGAATGAATGAATGAATGAATGAATGAATGAATGAATGAGGAAGTGAATGAAAGAAAGATCGAACGAGAGGTCGGCAATTTATATGAGTTTTTATTTTAAAAATAAAGATTTGTGTTTCTGCTTTAGATGTATGTCTTGTAGTTATAGCGTTAAAGGGAAATTGAATTTTTATTATTTATTATATATTATTGTTTTTATTATTTATTATTATTGTTTATTATTATTTATTTATTTTTTAATTAATATTGTTATTATTATTTGAAATTAATTATATTTCAAATTCAAAGAACGAAATCAAGGAGAGGGAGAGAGTGGAGAAATTGAAAAAAGATGAAGAAGAAAGAATGGACAGAAAGAAGGTGACGACGATAATGATAATTTATTCATTTATTTATTCATTCATTCATTCATTCATTCATTCATTCATTCATTCATTCATTCGTTTATTCATTCATTCATTCATTCGTTCGTTCATTCATTCAATTTTTTTTCCTAAAGAGAATTGACACTATAATGAAACGAGTCAAATCTGAAGATGCCGCAAAAGTAAATGAAGTGAATGAATGAATGAATGAATGATAAACAAATGAATGAATGAATAAGTGAATGATTGAATGACAAAATGAATGAACAAAGGAATAAACGAACGAATGAAAAACGAACAAATTCAAATAATTTGACACATATCCAACAACTTTAATAAAACAATCACTCATCATTTTAGCCTGCCTCAACAGATTCGGCAACGCCAACTACTACTTCCACTACTACTACTGCAGCAGCAGCTACTACAACAACTACTTCTGCATCTGCTGCTGCTATGACTGACACAAAACCAACGTTACAAACAAATGATTCATTATCGTTAGAAAGACACGAAACTGAAGACATTGCAATTGATTTATCAGGTGAAATTAGTGAAAAAATGGCCACTGATGTTGACGCAAAGGTTTTAAAAAGAACCCCTGGCATTGAAAAGATACCAGGTGATAAATGTTTAATAACGGGAGAAGACGAAGCGAATGTTGATGGTGGTGTAAAACTTAAGAATAATGAAGACGATGATGGTGTAGTAAGGTCAGGTCAACAACATCAGCATGAAAATGAAGTTAAAGAATTAGAAAAACAAGTAGAATTATTGGAAGAACAAAAAGTTGATAGACTCTCTGTAGAAACACAACATGAAGAAAACATTGATTCAGAAAAACTGGACACTTCCAAAGAGAAAGAAGGACACAATGAACAACTTTTGAAACAAACAGAGCCACAAAAAGATGACCAAACTGAACACCACTCTACTGACCAGTCCTCGCCACCTGAATCGCCACAAAGTCCAAAACTTCGCGAAATCGTCGAATCACACATGGAAGAACTGACTGGAGAAGCCGAACTCTGCTACGATGAAAACACGGGCCAAACGGTACTTATAAAAAAGACATCGTTCTTAGATAAACTGACGTCCAAACTGAAAAAAGCCTTGTCTCCGTCCGAGAAAAAACACATCGTCAAGACAGAACCACACTCCGAGCTACAGCAGCAGCATGAACCACACAAAGATAAGGAGAAAGATGAAAAGGAAAAAGTCAAAGAGTTATCAACTTATCTTTTATTAGCCGCCGTTGAGAAACCAAAAATTGAAAATGACGACGAACACGATAAAGAAACGCATCTGGAAAAACACGTGGAAAAACCCGCGCCGGAAAAACCCAGCTCGTTCGGAGCTATTTTCGGCAGGCGGAAGTCATCCAAAGATAGTGGCGACGACAAGATAACTCCCACTAAAGATGACGTCATCAAGTCGGAAAACAACAACAACGATAATAACAAAACCGAAAAGCGTAAATCAATTGGAGAAGGATTTAGCCTGTTTGGAATGATGAAACGAACTTCTAAAGATTTGGGAGCAGGAGCCAAGGAAGCTGAGGGTGCTACTACTGTTTCCGGTGAAGATCTTAAATTGGAAAAAGGCGGGAATATAATCCAGGAATATCAACCATCTGATGACGAACAGCAGCACCAAATTGCAGCCACAAGCGTAGCAGCAGTAGCAGCAGCAAAACCATTGCCACAACCTCCATCTATGATCAACATAACGTCTCCGGACATGATAAACATCGTCGTCCAGAAAAGCGCCACAACTACGAGCGACGACGACGACGAAAACAGACTCTCCAACCTGGATTCAAACCCGAGCAATTCGACGTCATCTCTCGACATCGTAAAGAGCGACGACTCTCCCGAGATGGCCACCACCTCAGATGACTCGCCTACTAAAGATAAGAAAACTAAAGGTAGGATGCACTCTTGCGTTATTATTATTATCAATATTATTATTTTAATTATAATTATTATAATTATACTAATTATTATAATTATTATTAATATTATTGTAGATGAGGTTGACATCGTGAAAGAACTTGACAAAAAACCCATAGAGGAGAACAAAAAAGAGGTGTACAAAGGGATTCTCGGATCTAACAAGCTCTCCAAGCTTTTCGGATTTAAAAAGTTTGATATTGTTGTTATTAGTTTGATAATTATCATAATAGTAAAAATAATAATAATAATATCATTATTGTTGTTAATATTGTTGTTGTTGTTGTTTTTGATGTAAATACTGTTATTAGGTTAAATGTTATTTAAAGTTTATTAGTATTGACCTCTTAAAAAAATCTTTCCAGTGGTAGCAGCAGTAGCAGTAGTGGCTGCAGTAGTAGTAGTAGTAGCTGCAGTAGTAGTAGTAATAGTAGTAGTAGTAGCAGCAAAAAGTAATAGTAATAGTTTTTATTTCCGCTGATGTCTCTTCGGTCTAGCCATTTTTATGGTTGATGTATGCAAATGCTGAACGAAGTAGTTGTTTTCTATGCTAATAATGGCTATGTTTGTTTGTCTATCTTTCTGTCTTTCTGTCTGTCTGTGCTTGCTTGTTTTTCTATGTAAATGTATGTGTGTATGTCTGTGTGTATGTTTGATTATTAGCTTTTTCGTTTGTGGCTTTGTGTGTTTGTGGCTTTGTGTTAACTGTTTTATGTGTCAGTCCGTATGTCAGTCAATGTTCAATTGTCTGTGTTTATGTCTGTGTGTATGTCTGTCTTTATGTCTATGTGTATGTCTGTGTTTATGTCTGTGTGTATGTCTTTGTTTATGTCTGTGTCTATATCTGTGTGTATGTCTGTGTATAATAATCATGATTATAGCACAATCCCATTAAGTCAACTTAGCTAATTTAATTACGCTAATTGCAAACGAATGTTAGGAAAAATTTCTTTTTAAAAAATTAACGCTATAAAATGTCGCTAATAATAATAATAATAATAACAACAACAACAACAACAACAACAACAACAACAACAACAATAATAATAATAATAATAATAATAATAATAATAATAATAATAATAATAATGGTAATAATATGAATAGAAGTAGTAGTGACAGAAATAATAGTAAATTTTTAAATGTAAGTTATTAGTCATCATCATCATCGTCGCCATCACCATCTTCATAAACATTATCATCATCATCTTCTTCTTCTTCTTCTTCTTCTTCTTCTTCTTCTTCTTCTTCTTCTTCTTCTTCTTCTTCTTCTTCTTCTTCTTCTTCTTCTTCTTCTTCTTCTTCTTCTTCTTCTTCTTCTTAACCGTCATCACCGTCATCATTACTACATTCTTTCTTCCATTCTGATATCCCAATGGGAGTACGAGACTTCAATACAATATGGGTTTTCCCATAAATATGTCAATTATTGCATACATACATACACACATACAAACAAACAATACATACATACATACATATTATACAATTATGATACATACATACATAAATACATACATACATACAAAAAAACAATACAATACAATATATATACATACATGCATACATACATACATACAAGCATACATCCTTACATACATACAAACAGACACACATACATACATACAAACATACATACAAACAAACAAACATACATACATAGGTACATACTTGAGTACAGCTGTGATTAAAATAAATCAATATTTGCCATATATATACATAAATACATATACATATAAATATATATAATATATATGTACATATAGGCACTTAGATGATAAAGATAATGATGATAACATGGATGATGATAAGAAGAGAGATAGCAAGGATCAAGGTGAGAGTTAGATTGATTATATTATAATTTTTTTTAAACCTTTTAGTTGGAGTAATTTTGTAGGCATAGTATGTCTACGTGAAAGCATAATTCTATTTCAATGTTGTAACGAACGCTAGGATGGTCTAATTGTTAAGCCTGCCTGCCTGCCAATCTGACTGTGATATCGTAGTGACAAGGTTCGAATGCAAACCGATCCCCACCAATCACATGCAATGTGTGCGTGTTGCTGCTGAAGACTTTGAAAACTAATCAAGGAAGAATTAATAAGAAAAATATAATATACAATAATAATAGTATTAAATAATAATAATAATAAATAATAATAACAATAATAATATCTCTAAAATTATTTTTATAAAAGTCTGATTTGAAAGTGGCGTCTGAAGATTAAAAAAAAACCCATAAAAAATTTAGAATAAGCACGTAAGTTATATCTCGTTGAGATGGGATATAGGTGTAAAAATACACAGATTTATGGGTATAGAGCAGGTATAAATGTGCACACACACACGCACACACACGCACACGCACGCACACACACACAGAGTTGAGGAATTAATTTAAATTAATTTTGTTGTAGAAGGTAGTGGGGCTTTATTTTATTTAATTGGTTTAAAACTGTTTATATTATTTAATAATAACTATTATTATAATTATAATTATAGTGATAATATAATTAGAGTAATAATAATATATAATATAAGTAATGATGTTTATCATTTTTAGTTTGAAGTTTGCTTAATGTTCGGGGTGTCGGTTAAGCATTGATTAACCAGCTTATTCATTAACTTAATTAATTGATTGATTAATTCAATTAATATTATTTACAATTATTATTGTTATAATTATTAATATTAATGGTATTTTATTTTTTAATATTTTTCAATATTTCTTTTCAAGTAGTAGCAACAAAAAATTTATCTATAATAATTTAACAACCAACAATGATGAAGACGAAGACGACCAAGATGATGATGATGAGGGTGACGATCGAGGAATAGATGATGATGATGATGAGAAGGATGACGCCACGCGTCAACATGGCGGCAACCGGAAAACTGACGACAATGACGTCACTGATGAAAAAACTTATCATCATGACTCCAAAACTGGTGTAATTCTCATAGAGGATATAAAGGATCATGATGATGAAAGGGAAGAGGATACAACCATTCCGTATCTTGATAAAAAAGATGATATACATGAGGATAATTATACTAAAACCTTCCGGGATAATGCTGATAATGGTGAAGGTAAAGTTGTTGCTGGTAGCTATGGTGAAAAGATAAAATTTACAAATGATAGATTGGATGAGTTTTTGGATCCAAACTTGAAGGGAGAAGACGAAAAATGGAAACAAATTGATGCGGAAAAATTAGATTTGGCGGGAAATACTGAAAAATTTGATGAAGCGGGAACAGAAAATGTCGAGATGTTTGGTGAAATTCACTCATCTGGGGAAGTTCGCGACGAGAAATCTGAAGATGTCGTTGTCGATGTGGGAGGTGTTGTTTTTGGAGTTAGCGCAACTAAGATGCACTCATTTGCTGAAGAACGAGGGAACCTACAGCAACAGCAGCTGCAGCAGCAACTACAACAGCCACAACAACTACAACAGCAGCAGCAACTACAACAGCCACAGCAACTACAACAGCAGCAACTACAACAACCACAGCAGCAGCAACAAGAAGCTGATGTTCGAAAGAAAAATGACCGAGAAAAAATCTTTCAGGCTAACAAAATTGATGGAGGTGACGGATTAGATGGATTTTTTGGAAAATTCAATTTGGATGGCAAGAATGAAGTAAACTTGCAACAACAACAACAACATCAGCAACAACAACATCAACAACAACAACAACAACTTATACTACCCAGAGATTCCTTAATAAAAGATGAAAATGGGTTTCCTGTCAATGAGAATCACCAACAACAAAAACAGCCGAAAATCGTTGAAAAAATCCACGATCAACAACAACTACAACTACAAATAACATCTGAAAAACTACAACAACAACAGCAACAACAACAGCAACAACAGCCGCAACAAAAACAGCCGCAACAACAACAGCCGCAACAACGA